ATTAGGAAAGAATGCTGTCTGTCTCTTGGAATTCTATGGGCAGGAACAGATCCTCAAAAACCAGAACAGGGTCATCCCTGGAGCAGATCAGAGATCTGCAGAAGTGTTGGAAGGAGCACAGCGATCAGATGGGCGCATGGTCTTCTGGGTGTCAAGGGATGGAGCCACAGAATCCTAGGTTTCAGAGGCAGCTCTTCAACGGGCAGAACGCGGACTGGTTGTGCTGAGTAGGGTTGCCATTTGGGTTGCTAACTGCAAGGCCAGTCGTCCAAAACCGCCAGCTGCTTTGAGGGAGGAAGATACGGCTTTCTATTCCAGTAAAGAGTTACAGTCGCATAACGTAGAGGGGCAGTTCTACTGTCCTACAGGGCCTTGATAAGCTGGCATTGAGTCGATGGCAGTGAGTTTGGGTTGTTTATTTTGGAAGTCCACAATGCCAAGTTGACATCCCGATGGGCCTGGGAGGTAGAGCTGAATCCCAGGGCCAAGGGCCCTCCAACCAGAATGCTGAGAGCATGGTCAGCACTCAATGAAGGGCAGAGCCCCTGCCCAGGGGATCTCAGAGAAGAGAGCATTGATTTCCAATCCTGAGAGCCCAGGTATGGCGTTCTGCTGGTTTGGGACTTCCTCGGTGCAGTTTATGCCTTCTTTCCTCCATTTTCTCCCTTTCGTACTGGCAATGTCTACCTGGTACCTGCTCCCCCACTGTATTTTAGAAACAGGCAGCCTATAGTCCAGATTTCATAGTTCAACAGATGAAATGGAATTTTGTCCTGGGGTAGAATATACCTAAAGTTTCATCCACATATACTTTAGGTGATTCAAAAGATAAGATTTTGAACTCGAAGTTGAAGTAAGACTTTTGAGATGATGTGATAATGCATGTGACAAAGACATGAATTTTGGAGGGCCGAAAATTATATCCACCACTGCCACTCCCAAATACGCTTTATAAATCTTAACTTCTTTGCCTATTCTCATAATTCCAATTGGGAAGAAGTTATCTTTGTTATGTTAATGAGACAGGATGAATGCAGGCTGTGTCTTAATTCAGTGTCTTTTGAGATGCAGAAAGTGATTAAACAAGCAAGCATGAGTCATAAAGACTGAAGACGACCCAGCAATCCCCCTACTGGGCATCTACCTAGAAGAGGCAAGAAATAAACCAAGGCCAGACATCTGTGCTCCAA